GAGGAGGAGGGGGTACAGCCATTTCTGGGGTGCCACCGGCGAGGCGGGGAAGGGGAGACCCCCGCGCTGAGGCGCGCTGGCTAATAAAGACAGAAAGAGTTCGGTCGTGTGGGTGACAGAGGGTTCGGGCTGTATTTGTTCCTGAAATATTATTAGCTATAAATCAGTTTTTGCGTACTTTTTGGTGCATGAAATTATTCGATGCTGTTTCCTGCTATTCGGAGAGCAGCGCAGTAGTTTTTGTTCTTCGGTGGGGGTGGGTTTGGAAGATGCAGAGCAACCTGCCAGCTTAGCTGAGTCCCGCAGCGGCCTTGTTGGCGTTTTTCTCCTTGGAGATCCCTTCCCAACAGAAGCAGCCAAGCAGGGCATGCACCGGCCACTTGACAGACACCTCTCTGTTTGCTGCAGGGACTGAGTGAATATAAGAGAAACTTCAAATGGAAAACCCCAGAGTTTTGTAGCCCATCCCAACAGCAGAAATCCTTGTGGGCAGGACTTCGGTCGGATCAGTTCGGTAAGCATCCCTGAAAGCTGCACCCTCCATCCGACATCCTGGTGTGGTCCGAGCTGGCTCTGGTAAGGATGAGCCTAGGCTGCAGGAGGTCTAGAGAGGCTTGATGTGATCGAGTGCAGGACCACAATGAACTGGTAGGGTTTGTGGTTTGTACACTTTATACAGTTAAAAGTATATTCCTGGTCATGATTTAGAATGTTTTTGAATGCCATATTCTTTCTGGTTATGCTGAAACTTTCTTCTAATGTTAGTGCTATTAACATAAAGTATGAAAAATACATGGTTGCTCACACGCAGCATATGCTGAGTCCCAAACATGAAGCACAGGTGCAGTGTTAACCTGTATAAGGTGTGTAGAAGGAGGCAGTGGGTTACCTGTGGTGCATGGAAACAGTGAGCAAAATTCCATGTTTAAGAGGGGACTAATTTAGGGCAAAGTTTAATACAAAGTAAAATTTTCATGCAGACCTACAGGGATGGCTAACTAGGGGGAAAAAAAAAAAGATAGGCATTACATGGAAAAGCTTGTAATGCTGCAGTCTAGGAGTCAGGGGTTGTATACATTATCATGGCAGGAAAATGTGTGATTGTAAAGTAGAAGACAGGAAATAGCATCTGGATTGAAAGGCCCATAGAGAGTTGAGGAAAAGGAGTAAGCTGCAGAGTGATGACAAGTGCAGTGCTTTGAAAAGGAGCAGTAAAAAAAGGAATTATTGTAGTGGCACAAGACAGATTAATAAAACTGTGCAATTCAGTGCAACCACACTATGCAGTCTGTGTAATTAGAGTCCAATATATTAATACCTACAATATGGTGAGTGTTCTAAATTATGGCCTAGTTATTAAGAACCAACTACTGTACAGTTTGTTTTCAGTTGAGGTACTAGAGGTTTTAATAAATAATTTAATCTTACCAAGGATTATGCTTTTTCTTCCATTACTGCAAAAATACGTATTTCCTTGCTTTCCCTAGCACCTGGCTCTGTGTATGGGCACCTGTATTGAAGAGAACAACTTCCACAAATTCTGAAACACCTGAACATCCAAACACATTAACTTCTTTTTAAAATTGTAAGCTATGTTGCTTTTCCAGTTGAACCGAACAGCAACTTTTACAAGACTTGCAGTAAAGTAATGAGTTAGCAGTACAGCAGTTTCTCCTCCTCCTCACGTTGTAGCAGTGTTTTTCTGTGTGCTTGGTGTAGTTTTCCTCCACCTTTGCATTCGTTTTCACTCCCACCTCTTTTTCTGGCCATTTAACCGTGTGCATCTTCAGATGTCACTCTTGACACCTCATAGGATTTGCAGATTGGTTTTGATAATTAAACTTGACGGTTCTTCCTGTTGAAACATATAGTTGGCAGTTTTAAGAATGACTTGGAACATCACCACAAAAAGTTAACAGCTGCAGGTGCTCTGAGTTTCTTCCTGCTACTTTTCCAGTGTTTTTCCACTGGAATTATTGCCTAGACCTATATGTGTATTTGGACATCCAGACATTCTGTATACCTTTCACTGTAGGTTGTTCTCTCTACTTGCTTTTTGATGAGGTAGAAGTTTCTCTCTCCCCTAGAAGGTGCTTCTTTTAGCCAGATGGGGGCCTTCACTTACATGTCCATTGCAGTTGAGCACTTTGTGGTTGGATTATGATTTCCTGCTTTAAGGGTGTTCAGTCATTCAATCCTCTTTTTAAAATGGTAGGGTAATTTTATTTTCATCTGCACATGTAATGGCCAGCAATTCTTTGAAATAACTTGATACCTGGTTTTGTTACCTAGTGGGTTTTTTTTAGAATTTTGGAAATGTTTTTGTGTTCATACTGTAAAAAGTCACCAGCTCTCAGATAGTTTTAAATCACAGTTGCATTAGGTGGATAGGGATCTGTCACTATCCTGTTAAGCAAGATACGTTGTGCATGTGCAATGAGAAGTGTTTGTGGCATTTTTTTATCATTACAGGTTGGTTATTCTGTATCTGTGTCAACCATGTTCTTTTAGCTGGCTGTGTTAATTTTGTTGTTCAACTGCCAGAGTCAACTTGCAAAAGACTGTCCTGTGGTCATATTTGCTTTTTAGGGTTTTATACAACATGGTCCTGGAGCACCATGTTCCCATTTCTCTATAGTGGAAAGGAAAGGCATTCGCAGATAGGAAAGAAGACAGAATTTCACAGCCGTGCTCATAATTTATGGGCTGTCATTGCTCAAAGATACTAAAATAGTTTTTTTTCTAATAATCAGTTGTATGATAAACCTTCAGTTTGTTCTTGTAATAGAGTGATGTTATGTCTTCAGTAGAATGTTTTTGTTAAACCTAATTTGTCTTTTTCAGGAATCACAAGAGAACCAAAGTTCATTTCTAAGAGAAGGGTACCTTACCATGATCCACAGATTTCAAAGTCCTTTGAATGGACAGCAGATTGTGATTTGAATGAGCCACTTGAAACTGAGGCTCTTAGGACTGCAGAGTTGCACGCAGACCACAACAACAATGATGTGAATCAGGAAAACATTGAAACGCCAGAAGGACCCAGACTCCCCCCAAAAGTTCGATCACATTTGGTAGATTCTAGAAGTGAAACAGCTCTTGTCCTTGCAGAAAACAACATGAAGAGATCATCCTCTGCAGCTCCACCAAATCAAAACGAAGCATTTGCATCCCCAAAAAAGGAATTTGAAAAAATGGGTAATGGGGTAAGGGAAGATTTTTTTTTTTTAAATCAATCAATATGAAAATTACTGATCTGATATTTACAGTAATACATGTACACCAGCCTCTGTTGTCTAAGTCTCTCCTTAGTTCTGTATTTTGATGTTCTTTTATGTTGTAGCTTCTCTTTTGGGAGAACGGTACTATTGAGACAAGATTTTGGTTCCACTTAGGTCAATAGGAATTTTTACCCTTCATATGCTGTCCCTATTGATTTCTGTTCAACAGGGATTTAGCCAATAATATATAGACTTTTTGGGGTTGTTGGCTACAATGACAAAATGTACTTTACATTCATATAATTCATACAGCCAAAACCCAAACCATTGTTTTGGAGGTATGCATTGAAAGATAATTGACTTGCAAAACATTGTAGGAAAGAGAAAAATTGGTCTTAATTTTTTTTTTTTTTTATGTTGTCAGCTTCACAGAGTCCTTCAGAGGAAAGCAGGCATGAATATTTCACGTTTAAATACCTTCCCCAGAAATTCTGAATATCAAAGCCAGTTTGTTTGGAAGAGTCCTCATGAAAAGTCACCAATACTTGCAGCTGAACAGGTAACTTTAAAGAATCCAAAAAGTAAATTAATACTTCTATGTATCAGCAAAGTTGCTTATTGATCAAGATTTCCTTTCTTCCTCTTTGGAAGGGGGTGTGTGTCCCCACACTTGAATGCTGTTACATGTTGGGTTTTTTTTTTTCTTCCAATATACAAAAGTGCAGTATAGTTAGATATGTTTCTCTGTGATTATTGTAGTCAGGTCTAATGAGTTGTTCTTGTTCTCCGTGGTTGCATTCTATCCTTTCTAACAGGACCATTTTCTTCTGTTTGCATTAGTTTACCTTATGAGCATTAAGATCCTACTCAATGTTACCCTTCATTTTTATAATTTTAATGCTATCTAATACATAGCTAATCAACAGATGAATGTTCAGGTGTTCTGTATTGTAATAACATGTCTTGCCACTGAAATTATTCAGGTTTCACTATTTATTCTCATGGTCTTTTATGGGTTACCACAGTTTCTTATTCTCAATCTCCATCTCTGTACACATAACTTCTAGGCCCTAATGTACATCTTTGTAGTGTTTTTTCTTCCATGAGAACTGCTTATATTTAAAAGTAGAATCTTCTGATTTTAAGACACTCTTGTGGCATTTTGATGTATATCATGAGTTTTTGGACTTTATAGGATTGGAAATACAGCTATTTCTTAATCAGACTGCAAAGAGTAATTCTGATTGTGAGACTGCTTTGTGTTTTCAATTAATTGTTACTGGGACCAGGACTTAGGAGACTCAGTCCATCTTTTGGTCAATTTCTAGTACAAAATAGGCCCGTCTGCTTTTGTCTTCTTTTTCTTTGCTAGGAGTATATACATTAATGGGTTTATTACAGACGGTGCTCTCTCTGTTTTTACCCACAGGTAGCAGATTTGTTCATTTAACAACTTTCAGAGGCAGTAAATGTTGGTAACCAGGATCAGTCACTATAAAAACTGTTCCTGTTTGTTTCTTGTTGGAATGCCAAGCAGGTGGACTTTGAGATATCTGTTTCTCAGCAGTCTCTTATCCAGGGAAAACTTGCTGAAATGCAGGAAAATAGTATAGAAGCCAAAGGACCATTTGAGGATGAGGCAGGTCCTAGAATGTCACCTTATGGAAAATTTCATAGAGAATTCCCTTTGATTCTATTAGAAATCAGTTTGGTAATTTCATTATTGGTGCTTGTGAACACTGTGCTATATCAGAAGAAAGATGTGGCATCTAAAATAGCAAACTTTTATTTGCACAGCTTATACAAAATAAGAAGCCGTAAGAATAAATGTAGGCACTATAAATCCTTAGATAAATAGAACTTAATAGGTATTAATTACATATTATTACAGGACTGTCACTTAAGATTAGAGTTTCATGATAAAAATCAGATGTATCAACAAACTGATTTTCTTTTGATTGCTATTGATATGATGGAGAATACACCTGAATACTGAATAATGAATACACCTGAATACCGAATAATACCTTTCCCTTGAAGAGATTCTGTGAAAATATCAGAGTTACCCAAGTTAAATTGTAAGTCACACCTAAACCGTCATAGCAAAGCTGGGGAAAATATATGCTTGTGACAATATGGCATGGTCTTTTAATTCAGCACCCCATGAGGAGATGATACTTGACCACATATTAGGCAAACTCTCTACCTTGGTTTATAATACAGTATTGTTTGGAAAATAGTGGATAGCTCAAACTACCAAGCCCTCAGCATCCAGTTGTAAAACGCAGAACAGTTGTCTGTTACTTACGGACTGGACGTGTACTGAGGACTCATAGGGAAGTTTTGTGGCATATGTTTTAAAAATATCTTACATACAACTCTGAAGGTGAACTGCCTTCCCAAATAAAGAAAACCCGTGTTAGTGAATCACAGAATCATAGAATGTTTTGGGTTGGAAGGGACCTCTAGAGGTCATCTAGTCCAACCCCCCTGCAGTGAGCAGGGACACTGCTAACTAGATCAGGTTGCTCAGAGCCCCATCCAACCTGTCCTTGAATGTTTCCAGGGATGGGGCCTCCACTACCTCTCTGGGCAACCCGTTCCAGTGTTTTACCACCCTCATTGTAAAGAATTTCTTCCTTATATCCAGTCTAAACCTACCCTGTTTCAGTTTAAAGCCATTACCCCTTGTCCTGTCACAGCTGGCCCTAGTGAACTTTAGTAAGAACAGCATTTGACCACAGGTTTAACTGTGTGACTCTGTCACTTTAAAATGTATTTTTATCAGATTAAGTTTCTGTTCCATTTGTCCTAGAAGCTAATTAGTCTGCACATGCTGTATTTGTACACATGACCGTCTCTCTGCTCATATGTGAGTGTATTTGCATGAACTGATTAACTGATTTTGAAAATTTAGCCTTAAGGTAAGCAAATCATACTCTTGTTTGTTTGTTTTCTTTCCCCAAAGGTTATTTGCAACACAAGTGAATCCATGCCTCCATTTAAATCTTCTGCAGTTACATCTGAAACTGCATATGAGAGAAATTTCAAAGGATCTCCTCCTGTTAAGGGTCCACAAGAGAGACGTGGTTCAGAAGAGAAAGAATTTCCAGATTGTGAACAAGTAAATATTTCCCTAAAAAAGGCATTAGTCTACTTATATAATTTTGATTATTCTTTTCTATAATGTGGGGGTGGGTTTATTTTGAAGTTTTTTAGTTACATTTTAGACCTATTGCTAATGACACTGGACTCAGTAGTGGTTTTGCTATAAAAGACTGAAAATAACACTGTACTGCTCTGTTTGCTCTTAGGGATTTCTGTAGTGGGTTCTGTAGTTTCTGTAGTGCATTTGTTCAGTTTACAGTGACATTTTAAGTGTGTTTTTTCCTGTCACGTTAATTTATGAGTTTTCAAGTGGGTTTTTTTTTTTTTTGTTGTTTTTTGTTTTTTTAAATTGAAACTTTGTTTTTAGTCATTAGGATAGTTTCTGAAATGGAAATCTCTGATTTATACTCTGATTGGTACCAATATAGTCTTGGTATGCAGGAGGGCTGGATGGGAGGTCTGAAACTTTTTGGATCTCAAAAATTAGACATAGTGTGAATTAAAAAAAAGTATTTTGATGTATGGAAGATGCCACAGTTGGAACTGATTTTCATCCAATAGTTGTAATTTGAAGAAACATGAGGAAGGGTTACAGTTCATTTGCCTTTACCTTGATAAGTTGAGAGGTAAGTAATTGTATTTAGCACAGGGCTATAACAGGACGTTGCGTAGCCTACGTAGGCTCTGTTACTGAATTCAAAACATTAAAATATTTTTCATGAAAGAAATTTGGCTGTCTGAGGCCTTGCATTTCCTTGTCCTGCTATTGGCTTGGACAGGCTTAAGTGGACTTTTAGGAAACGCGGCTATGGCCATTTTATCAGACACATTTAATGAAAAGGAATTGCTTCAGACTGAGACTTTCTAAAAATAGGTGAGAGCAATTTAGACTGCATGACAGCTAGCCTATTTTGCAAGGTGGATATATGAAAGTCTATTTTTGTAGCAAGCTGCCAAGTGTAGTGATGTCTAAATTCCCGCAGGTTAGCTAACCATCCTTCAGGTAAAGGACCACATATGAGTGTCTTCAGTACCCATCTCTACTCCTTGATAAAACAGAAGGTGCCATTGTCAGACAACATGTTCACTAGGACTGTTACTGAGCAAAACACATATTTAACATGGAGTGACTGTGGCTCTGTTGAAGCCATTGGTACTTTTTAGGTTCTTAAAGATGATTGTTGGCTTGGAGGCTTTATGATTTAAAACTCAGACATGCCCAGTTCTTTAAATCTCACCTGGGAATGAGGAATTTCATGTCCCCTTCTGCCTCTTTTAGCAGATGTGAAGAAAGGTTGAAAGGCACGAGGCTTTCAGGAAGCATTTCTTTGTTTTTAATATTGGAAATTCAGGTTATGTTTTCCCAGGAGAGCTAATAAAATGAAGGAAGAAAAGGCATGAGAAGGGAATTTTGGTGAAAGTGTCTAAACCACTTTTTATTTATATCAATATCTCTTCTCTGATGAATACCTTGAAAAAGTTCTGGGGGATTTTGGTGGGCTTTTTTTTTTTGTTGTTGTTTTCCTTTATTTTTCCTTTAATTTGAACAATATCTGTGAAGATCTCTAGCAGAATCAGAAATCATGCATGAGATTTTGAGAGGATAAAATAAGCAGGAAAAAAAAAATCTTTGATGTGAAAACTGCACAAGTCAATCTGACTCTTTATAATCCAGAATGGCAGCAAATTAAAAATTTGCCTTTTGGTTTATTATAAATTGGTTTATATTGCTTGACTATAAAGCTAAGAGTTTTTATTTTTTTATTTATTACAAATTCCAGAAATATACTTATTAAGTGTTATGCAACTCAGGTTAGAATCACAGGTGTTGTATTATTTTATTTCTGTGTTTCATGTTAAATTCATTTTGTAAAACATATAAAATAGATCATCTAACTGAATGTTGCACTCAGAATCTTAGCTTTGGCATTTTGCTAGTTTATTTTTGTATTAACAAAGGATGTAATATTGTTTGTATTAAATAATGCAAAGCAGCTAGCTAAAATAAAATTAACTTCTTGCAAAAGCTTGATGTCAAAAGGAATATGAGGGTTTTCAGATTGTTAGCTAATGTGGTATTTTTAAAATTATCTTTGCCTTAGAGTAAGAGGGAAGAACCGTTTCAAAAGCCAGCAGAAGATGCAGCAAAACAAGGGAAATCAGAACAGAAACATCCTAAACAAAAAAATAAGCAACATATCAGTCCAAAGCCCCTCTCTTTACATACAAGTCGTGGGTATGTATAAAATAGGAAAACCTAGCCTAGTGAACAGGTGTACAGTAGCCTAATATTTAGAATGATGGACAATGGACCTTTAACCACACCATGCTACAGTGGCAGGGGCAAATGCCCCTTTGCAGTGCTGGGACTGAGCTTCCTGTGGGTACATCTAAACCTGGTGTTAATTTCCATCCCCCTCTCTGCGTGGTCGAAGTGGAAGCTTTGTAACCAGGCTTGTTCAGTCGAACCTTCTGATGCAATAATAATTAATAAATTTAACATGAGTGAAATTAAATCAGTGCGGTGCTGCTACTGAGTTTTCGCCGAGTGCTTTGGAAGTTGCAGTCACCTTTCAAATTGCTCTCCTGTGCTTGCTCCACACCTTAAAACTGTGGTGGTAGTACTTGATGTCTGCTTTTTCTAGTCCGTGCCACCTTCTGTCCCAAAGTAACAAAAGCAAGCACATGAAGTAAAGGGAAGTAAAAAAATCTGTCCTATTTAGAGTAATCTGACAAGCATGGATATAAAATGAAATTGTATGTTACTGAGCTCTATCAAAGTATCTTTCTGTTCTGCCACATACCTACATTGCAGGAACTGAACTCATGTTTCTGTTTTCTGCGCATCTGAGATATGCCAAGAGAAATAAAAACCTGGAATGGATGTAGGTTTTAAAATGCATAAATTAATCCATCTCTACTGTCTTTGTGCTTAATGTACGTCCCAGTGATTGCTTTCATTCACATGAGTTTCTGGCACTGTTATGCCATTAGGTTAAAGATTGGAGAGGAGACATACTTAGGTCTGAATGCTGTTGGATATTGGGCGTAATTACAAAATGATCACCCAAAATTCTATGAAATAAAGTTGCTTTATGAAGAAGTGAGTGGATATAGTGTAGTTAAAACCTTTAACTCTTTGGTTTTCATAGTTCTTAGATGTAGTAGATTGTAGTCAGTTTTGCAGTGATCAGTGTAAAATTCTTGATCATTTGCTATGACTTTTTTCACTTAAGGACAGATTTCTGCCTCTTATGCATTCAGTGTGGTAGTGCAAGGCAAAAGCTTCCAAACCAGTCAGTGGGCAAATAGCAGTGAAAATGTGCAAGTTCTCGATATGCAGACAGGACTGTCACTTTGTATGCAAGCTGCGTTGCCTGTCCTGCTTTTGTGGCAGAATGACTGGGATCAAGGCACATCAGTGATGTGTTTTTTGAGCTAGTCCATTAGTTTTGCAACCAAACTTTTGAATATAAAGGGGTTTTTTTGCCTTGGTATTTTTCTTCTTACAAGGTACATTTTATTCTGTGACCTCAGGCTTTTATCATCTATTTCTGAAGAATGACTGAAAAAGAAGGCTTTTTCACCCAATGCTGACTATGTTAAAATGAAGTTAGTAATATTCTGAAGCAAGATTAAAAACAAAAACCTCTTTAGATTTAAGCTGATAAATCCACAGTTCAGTTCTTAAGGACTTGAAGTATTGCTTATTGCCTGCTATAGGTTAGATTATATTAATTTTGCTGTGTATGTATGTGTGTGGCAGGAGGGAAAATGAATCCATTTTTGCAAGTACTGAGGCCTTCTGAAGACCAAAGCCTGTAGGACAAAGTTAGATGAATTATACTGACCATTGTTCTGGTAGTCAGATGTTTCTAGCCCCAACAGTTCACCTTACGCACACACAGAGTGCCTTTAGAGTGGAGTTCATAGAAGGATACGTCTCAGATGCGTTAGTACCAAACCAGGCATTTTTACTTAAATGTGCCTTCATCAGTGACTTAAACCAAGATGCTGCACTTCGCATTGAAGTAATTGAGGCTTATGTGTGTGTTATGTTCTGCTGTCAGGGCAAAAGCTTCTGGCAGAAGGGTTGTGAGGAAAAAACAACAGGAGTAACTACTTGACGAGCCACCAGCTGTGAATGAGCTTTTTCACAGCTTCCCTAGTTGTGTTGGTATGGATGAGCTGTGGTTCAAAGCATGCGCTTTTCACATCTCAGCCCTGGCATTTAAGTGCAGGTATACTTACAATTGTTGATAAAACTTTAAAAAAGTGCTCTTAAAGAGTATTCTGGATATCAAACTTTACCCTTTCTGTCTTTTTTTTTTCCTTTCCTTGTTCTTGATTTCTTAGGAAGATGAACACTGAATATAGGTCAAAATTTTTGTCTCCATCCCAGTATTTCTACAAAGATGGAGCTTGGTCTCGTATTAGGAGTAAAGTTCCCAACCAGGTGAGTAGTCTTAAAAAATCTGAAACCTGAGTATGCTTTGTATTTTGATTTTTAGATGCCAATGTAAGATACAGTTTTGAGATTGTAATGCTAATGACTCAGCTTCTCAAAGGTGAGTATAGAAAAGACGATTAGGTTCTGACAAGTCAGTAAAATACATAGCAAGAAAAAGTAAGAGATGGCATGACTTCAAGAATGTATTAATGTGACATCCAAAGTGAGGGAGGAGTTTTGCTTCCCTTACAATCAGAATCATTCAGAACAGAGTGTCTTGGAGCAGATAATCTCAGTGTTGATGTTCAGCCTGGTTTTAACAAGCAGAAGTTTTCAAAATGCAGAATTGGATGATAGGAGATTCCAAGGGAATAAAAGGAAAAAGCCAACATATGTATCAGCCTAGGTCAGCTTGATAGTCAGGCTCATTTTCTTACCTTGCCATGCTGAATCCATTCAAAGCAGTCAGCTGAATTCAGTTATACACCACATAAAATGGAGAATTTCTTCTGCAAGTGTCAGCCAATCTAAGTATTTTCTTGAAGTTTATTCAGTAACTGCAGTCAGTATTACACTGTATAGGAACTCATTTGACAGAATTTTGAAAATGATGAACAGCTTCAGGACCATAGGATTTCTTAGCAGGATTATTGAGTATGATTACCTAATTACTCAAGTAAATCAAAACTGTTAGCAGTGTGCTAGAGCTAGTTCTGCAGCTGTCAGATTTCACTCAATTGACTTAGGCTTCTCCCAGCTGATAGAGGGAGCCTTTGTGAGACACTGTACACTGCGAAATGTGTGGCAAATACTTGGGAATGTGAGTTTCCTCATCAGTTGGGACCAAGCTAATGGGGAAGGTAGAACTGGAGCAGGTGGCTCCAGAGTGCTGGGCTTTGAGATTTTGAAAATAACATTCTCTGAGAATTTGCAGGAGTAGTGTGGAAGCGTTCAGTTCTGTGTTCTTTCACTGGACTTAATCTAGCAAGTAATTTTCTTTTTAGGCAAAAAGAAGTATATACTGAATATATACAAAATAATGAGAAATAGGTCTCAAAGTTTAAAGTATATTGTAGTATGTGATGATTCATAATCAGATTTTTTGTATGTATGCATGAGATAATCCATTTTATGAATATAGCCTCAAGAGGATGTTAGAGGACTAAAAAAAAGGAACTATTTTTATTTTTTATATGTATTGATATATGCATTAGATTTACTGTAACTAAGGCTGTAGAATATTCTGAACTATTGCATGCAGCCTGACTAAGTGGTATACAGAATGTTTCCGTGAAATATTGTGTCATTTTTCTGGCATGTAAGACTTTTCATTTGGGGACTGGATGTTGCATTGGTAACATTCAAAACAGTCAGTAGCAGTGCTCAGCTTCAGGAGCAACTGAGTGGTAGGCAAGTAAAGGGAAAGGGACGGATTGCCTTGGAGTATAGTGTGTTTGCAGCACAGCCAGCTGGGAGGAGTCACTGCAGTACAGTCAGGGGAAAGAATAAGGAGACAGCAAGTGGAGGATGGATGCTCTGCTTTACCAGGCAGGATCCTTTACGGGTTGTGTTTCAGAGATGTAGGAAGTAAACGTATGCAGCATTTAATTAGAGCGTATGAGAAACCAAGAAATTCCTACACTGTAGATAAGTGTTTTAATTGCAGGAAACTAGAAAGAAGTCACTTGGCAGTAGGGATGAAGAATTCAAAGAAGAATTATTAGGATTTTTAGGGCCTTCTAAAGAAGGAGTTGTACTGGGTAGCTGGAAGAACCAAAATAATTTTAAGAATAATGAATATTTTATTGATGACATGTGCTTAGATTACATACACATTTTTGATTACATACAAATTTTTTATTAGATACACATTTTAATGTATGCATACCTACATTAGATCCTAGTGGGAGTTCATATAGAAGAGGCTTTTATAATTGGAATTACCTGAATTTCTGCTGTCTCTGTTAGACTTTAAATCACATGCCTGTGAGCATATGTCATGTTTTAACCCTAGTAGGCAGCTGAGCCCCACACAGCCACTTGTTTGCTTCCCTGCAGTGGGATGGAGGAGAGAATCAGAAGGGGAAAAGTGAGAAAACTTGTGGGTTGTGATAAGGGCAATTTAATAGGTAAAGCAAAAGCTGTGTGCACAAGCAAAGCAAACCAAGGAATTAATTCGCCACTTCCCATGGGTAGGCAGGGGTTCAGCCATCTCCAGGAAAGCAGGGCTCTGTTGTGCCTAATGGGGACTTGGGGAGACAAACGCTGTCACCCTGAACATCCCCCCCTTCCTTCTTCCCCCAGCTTTATATGCTGAGCATGATGCCATATAGTATGGAATAACCCTTTGGTCAGTTGGGGTCAGCTGTCTCAGCCCTGTCCCCTCCCAGCTTCTTGTGCACCTCCAGCCTATTGGCTGGTGGGGTGAGGAGCAGAAAAGGCCTTGATGCTGTGTAAGCACCTTTCAGCAATAGCTAGAACATCCTTGTGTTATCAACACTGTTTTCAGTACAAATCCAAAACATAGTGCCATAGGAGCCACTATAAAGAAATTTAACTCTATCGCAGCCAAAACCAGTCCATATCAAACTAGTTTTGCTAGTAGACAAAGAATACTTAGCTCCTGTAAATGTGTTACTGTGTGGGTTTTTTTTCATGTGGAGTTTTTTTTTAATCTGCTGTTGTGTTGTTAATAGTTTCATATGTATAATTGAGGGTTATAATTCTTAATAAGACATTTCTTATGGGTGTAGTGAAAGCAAAGAACAAGGTTAAAGCTTGGAATTTTCTGGTCTTCAAGACGGGTTGGAAGAAAACCAACGTTAATTCTTAAACCGTCTGTTAATACAAGATTAAAAATCCTGATAGACCTGATTCTTGGCCAGGTTTTTTTTCTTTTTTGTAGCATCCATCAATGTTTTTGTTCTAAGAACTACAAGATGGGATCCAGTGTGGCTAAAATAGTAGGACTGAATAAAATATTCCATTCATGGTTGAGGCATAAGAAAGGATCTAGCCATTTGAGAAATATGTTAAAAGCAGATTAATGAAAGTATGCATAACCTAAAAAAAGTGTCAAGCACATCGGTTTTATTGTAAAGCAACAAAGGTGCTTTGGCCATTCACGGTATAGGCTGCCCAACAGTCCTTTTGGTTTCTACATGATTCCATACCTGTTCCCATACTAATGCACTGACATGGAGAGAAATACTCTTCAAAGCTGTATCTAACCTCTACGTCTGGTAGATTGTTGAGACTCACCCTTGCCAAAGGTGCCTACAGAACATGTGTCGCTTAGCATAGCTGATTAGGTGATAAGCTCTGACTGATCCAGTCTGGTTTCTCCCTTAGTTGGGACCGCAGATGGGTAACTTCAGGTCCAAAGCAGACTTTCTGAAGTTCTGAGCCCAAATAGGCAAATACCATAATGGAATCCTGGTATGACCTTAGCTGTAGTGATTACTCCTAGACTGCTGCTCTACAATATATTATTAAGGGTTGCTTTTCAGCAGTCTAATGAAAAAAATCTCTTTGAATTATGCTTTTGAAAAATTAATGTGGGCAATTCATAATCGCAGTAGGACTCTCTGGGGCCTATGTCCTGCTGAGATAATGCTGCCCGCTGAGTCACTGAAGGAGACAGTTGTCCTTTGCACTTCTTCGCAATTCACTGGAGATACAGTATTCTTCCTCCCCCTGCGGTGTCCTGTTGCTCTGGATTTATATTCCTTCTGTTGTGACTATCATAATTAAGTTTTCATTCTTCTACTTAAAGTGAATAATCCAGTAAATCGCTTGTACCTCAAACTTTAAACCCTCTTCCTAAAATGACAAGCATGTATTTTTAATGGGCTATTCTTTGGAAGTTTGGCGGGTCAAATTGTGGGATGTTAGCTGGTGTGAGCTAAGTGGATTTCCATCTGCTGCATCCAGTTACTTTAGTTGGTTTAGCAGAATTTGGCCCACTAACTCTGTTCCTTGCAGAAAGAATGATGCGAAGTCTATCATGAAGGAAGAATAAATAAGAAAAGCTATGAAAATGTGCTAGAGGAAGTGTCAGTATTACTTTCTTCCTCTTTGACAAAGTACTTATTTCCTGTGAACCATTTTTTAGTGAGCCAGAATTTACACAACAATATCACAAAGTTATTTTTAATAGTTTAAACATAAAAGTTCTGTTGTTGCTTTTTCTTCCTGCACTTTAATTGTGTTTGGGTGTAGGACACAAAACAGTGTGAATGTTTAAATAGTTTTAACCATAAAAATGATAGTGTGTAATCAGCAGTATAACGTCTAGAGAGGGCTTATCGCTTTCTGTTTTTTAAGACTAAACCTGACATCTGGTCAGTTTTGTATCTCATTCTTACAGTTGCTGGTAACCTAGAAGGAATGATTTTGATGTTATGTCTTAGATACAGTAGCACCAAGAGTTCTAATGTAATCATCAGCTCCTCACTGAGAAAAGATTAATGTAGCTAGAGACAGTTGCAGTGTCCACGGCATGCAAACTCAGTATTACACATGCACATAGATCTGTTGACTTGGAATAATCATAAATTGGTGGTGAACATATTTTTGAGTGTTAATGCTTAGAAATCAAAATTAATTTCCTCAAGCTTGGCAAAAGCTGGTGAAATACCAGTGCTGATGTATTTGTTTTACAGCTTTTTACTGAATCTCAGGGAGGCAGCATAGAGCCATGTTCACAGGTTTTTAGTATTTAATTTCTTGCTTAGACTGAAATAAAGTTACAAGGGCGATAATAATAATACAGTGTTGAGAGAAAAATAAGAAATTTTGAAATAATTCTGTATTCCTCTCCTTAGGCATCTCAAAACACCCTAAATTCCATGTGGTATATGGAGGTTGGTTGCATCTAAGTTCTGGTTTCAGTGTTAGGAGCACTGTGTCTGAGCGCTGATGGAAGAACTACAATCCAGCACTAAACTTATTCATAGTTGCTGCATAACTTTTTGTGCTCATTGAATGAATAATTGACAATTTTGCTTTGGCTTCATGGCTTGAACATGCTTACTAAATATACACTTTTGTTATTTTTGCTTTCGTTTTGTTGCATTTACTGTGGCATGCAATGTTTGTGCTGTGGATGGCCCTGTATTAATGAGTAACTTGCTTTCCCCCTCTAGCTGCCCTTAGCTAATGCAAATACTTTATAATAGTCTGTTAGTGAATTTAAGCAGGCATGTAACTTATGAAACCTTGATGTGTAGGTGAGAGAACTTCGAGAAAGAGCAAAGGCTTACCGGCAACGAGTAGAGGGAACACACTTCTCCCGATACCATCTCAATCAGATCCTGTCCGATAATAACAGTCTTTGGGATGTGTCCTCAAATTCCAGTTCAGAAGAAGGCATCAGCAACAACATCAGAGCACTAGATCTTGCTGGGTAAGGTTGTCATTCCTGCCTTTTATTCTGCAGCTTTGAAACAGCAAAATGCTGAATATAGGCTTAGCGTAGCTGTGAGATCTTGGGTGTTTGACTGTATTCAAGATGCAGTTAGACAAGGTGCTTAGTAATCTCATCTAGGCTTCATTTCCCCACGGAAGGTTAGACCAGATGGTCTTTTGAGGGCCCTTCCAACTGGGGCTGTCCTACGATTCTGTGATATGTAAATTCTCTGGAACAGATGAGGGCATTTACCTCTTCACAGATACATCAGTTGATATGTGCTCAAATTGAAAACAAGGCACAGTCCAGTCTTCTGAAAGAAGACAAAGTTACTCCTTTATAATTCTTCACAACTGCATATTTAGTGTGGCAGCCTGAGTCTCATCTAGTCTGGAGGAATTTTGCATTGAGTCATACTGAAGTAATACTCTTCTTTACACTGGAGTGATATGAAATATGTTTTGTCTACTCAGATGTTATCAAAGTTCTTGTCAGGCTTAAATATCTTGTTGTTGAGTCTTAGACACTGTTTAGTTAAGAGATGAAGACTTAGGAACTGGAGTGGTGTACATCTATTTTCTCCTTTCTTTGGTGGTGTATTGGGATTGTGTGGCAAGGTCTTGTGTGGGGGTGGGGGGGGAATACAGGGATGGCTTCTGTGAGAAGCTGCTAGAAGTTTTCCGTGTGTCTGCTGCTGGCCAAGGCCAAACCAGTCAGTGATGGTGGAAGCGCCTCTGTGATAACATATTTAAGAAGGAAAAAAAAAACTGCTGCGGCTCAGTAGCAGGAGAGAGAAGAGAAGCGAGAGGATGTGAGAGAAAACAACCCTGCAGACACCAAGGTCAGTGAAGAAGGAGGGGGGGGAGGTGGTCCAGGCGCTGGAGCAGATTCCCCTGCAGCTCGTGGTGAAGACCATGGTGAGGCAGGCTGTCCCCCTACAGCCCATGGAGGCCCACAGTGGAGCAGATATCCACCTGCAGCCCGTGGAGGAGCCCACGCTGGAGCGGGTAGTTGCCCAAAGGAAGGAGGCTGTGACCCTGTGGGAAGCCTGTGCCAGATCAGGTTCCTGGCAAGACTTTGCAGTCCCGTGAGGGGAGGAGCCCACGCCAAAGCAGGTTTGCTGGCAGAACTTGTGACCCTGCAGGGGACCCATGCTAGAGCAGTCTGCTCCTGAGAGACTGCACCCCGTGGAAATTATGGACCCATGCTGGAGCAGTTCGTGAAGAACTGTAGCCTGTGGGAAGGACTCACGTTGGATAAGTTCGTGGAGGACTGTCTCCTGTGAGAGGGTCCCCATGCATGAGCAGGGGAAGAGTCCTCTCCCTAGGAAGAAGAAGCAGCAGAGACAACATGTGCTGAACTGACCCCAACCCCCATTCCCTGTGCCTCTGGGGAGGAGTAGGTAGAGAAACTGGGAATGAAGTTGAGCCCAGGAAGAAAGGAGGGGTGGGGGGAAGGTGTTTTAAGATTTAGCAGTTTTTATCCTCTCCTTCTCTGATTTTGATTGATAATAAATTAAATTATTTTTATCAAGTTGAGTCTGTTTTGCCTGTGATGGTAACTGACAAATGATCTCTCCCTCTCCTATTCTCAACCCATGAGCCTTCTGATCTACTTTTCTCCGCTCTGTCTGGTTAAAGAGGGGAGCAACAGAGCAGCTTTGGTGGGCCCCTGGCGTCCAGCCAGGGTCAAACCACCACAGATGGCCATGAGAATTGGCAGATATTAAATCCCTTGCTAGGAAAATTCACAATTAGTATTTTAGTAAAATGTACAGACAGCTATTACTGAAGCAAAGAGGAAGAAAAAACCCGTTTCTGTCTTCTCTGAGATCTGATATTTAAAAACAATGCTTTGGATGCCTCTGTCTGTAGTCCACTTAGACTGCTGTGTATGCACGCTTACATGTCTTGTGTGTGTGAGAGATCTACTCATTTGCATGACTAGTAAGGATTGAGGGATGGTACATAAAAGAGTATTTATTGTACTATAATGTGTGATATTAAGTATGGTGTAAATTTTTTTGTTTACTGGTTTGGTGGTTTTGCCTGTGAAATACAGATCCTCTTACTGATCTCATTTCTGTGCAGTGGGCTAATTCGCATTGATTTCTGTGAGCAGTCAAGAGTTTAAGACTTTCAAAAAGTTGTGCTTAGAGAGGAGTCTTCTAAACTGCTTGGCTTTCAAAACTGTGCCATCAGACAGTCCCTATGCATGGTACTAGTTATTTTTGAACACTTCTGATAATCTAACTTGTTGTTTAAATTGGAAATAGACCCCTAATTTTACATTACATTTTTGGAAATGGTAATCCAGAAAGAGTTTTATAGAATCTAGATTGAAAATGGGTTGTGCTTAAACATCAGTTAAAAACTTCAGTGGAAATTTAACCATTCATCATGTCAGCTGTACCACTTTTTAATATCTGAGCTGTACTTCTGGCAAAGGACTGAACTGTATGAATGTGTTCTGCATGGACACGTGTATATTGTGCAAATCAAGGGTGTGAAACACTGCTTTCTTTGTTACCTAGAGTTTCTGAAAAAGACACTGCACCAAGCCCCAAAGTGCTGCAGCAGCCTGACTCCAGAAAACAGCCACACCAGGACAGCACTGAGAAGAAAGACATTTCAGATGCTTTAACTGTGCCAGTCAAAAGGCGTTTAGTTTGGGGTGAACAAGAAGGTACTGATGAAAGGGAGAGTCAGCAATCAGCAGAAGAGGAAGAAAAACAAGATGAACAGGCTGCAGCCGTGGCCCAGCAGTTAGAAGAAACCAACAAGGATGCCAATGAAGATAAGAAAATTGAAGGGTAAAACTGAACATTTTTATGGTGTATATATATAATTTTTTCCTCTAAAATCTCATAAATTTCTAGGTTAACTAATTTTTGTTTTTAAATCAGATTTACTTAAGAGAGTGTAAGTTGGTGTGACACTACTTTTGTTTTTAGCAGTATGATAAGGAATGAAAAAGTTCAAGACATTGATCTGGTTGATGGAAATGGATCTATCATTAAGAATACTGGATTTCTAACTTGCAGGACAGAAGTTTGTAGAAGCATGAACAATTCTAATGTTTTTTTCCAAAGCTATAAAATTTGCAGCATGGGCCTCTCAGAACAGACTGTTCATTACACAGCAGTCAAGTGTAGTGAAAATTAAAGCTCACAATTTGCTTCAAATTGACAGCATAGGATTGATAGGACTGAAGGGATAGAATACATGCTAATCTTGTACTTAAGCATTTATTTTTCTTAAAAAAATTAATGGGCAAAGATGAAGAACTTGGGGGAAACAAATAACACCCAGTAATCACCGGTGGTTATGCTACTGAGCACAGGTGGGAAAAAGGTGGAGGAGTATTTGGAAATAAGGAGTGATCAATTCAGTATGTGCATAGTACAGTGCATAGTACTGTATTTGACAGTTGAAAGATCCAAATTACATCTAGTTACAGAAGTCTCTGTCTTTTTACTGTGCGAGTGGTTTTTTTTTTTTTGGTAGAACAATATTTTAGTTTGATAGATACTTAAATCCAAATAACTTTGGCCCTTGTTGCCATACCACCTAAGCATTTTGTAGTGCTTATTGAGTTTTATCTTTAGTGTTGCAGCATGAATCGAAGGTAAGGAATTGTAATTGCCTCCTTTGGGGATAGTATCCTGTATGCAAAACCCAAGCCAAGAAAGATTGAGATGCTAGACTCAAATAGTAATTAAATGCAGGCTTTCAGAACCATCATCCTGAGAACCTTCTTAAGTTTCTATCTAATTCTAGATTATCTAGTTCGTAAATGTGTCTCTGATTGACATGGAAGATTTTCTGTCATCCTGCAATGTGGTTGTGTGTATGCTGAGACTTGCTCTGGGCTTAGTGCTTGCATGTTATCTAAGCCTGCTTGAGAGCTAGAAATGAGGCATTCTTTGCCTACATGTCCTCAGAGCATGTCTAGCATGCACTGATAGGATCAGGTTCCTTGCACAATGTGGGCATGCTGCCACCTCCTTTTGAAATGCATCTGGAGGAAGAAACACTGTTAGTGCTGATTTATTTAATAACCTGGGGGCTACAGTGGTTACATAAGTGTGGGATACTTGGTTTCAGTTCCACCACATTGACTGAAAAGAGTCAAACCCACATTCCCACCTCTAAGGTGGCAACCAGGTTCAAAGTTTTTCTGGGTGAGTACTCTTCCCAGCCCTCCTGTTGACTCTCTGCTGCTCTGCAGCAATACCTTCAAGGTTTATTGGGACAGAGGGAGCCTGAATTTGCAGCTTGAGACTGTTTATGTGTTTTATCCAGTTACATAAAAATGTAGAAACTGAGGCTCAAGGGCTGGAATCCAGGACTCCTCATTGCAAGCAGATGTTTTAGCTACAGGCTGTTGGTGTTTTATGACCCTAACTGTTTTGCCTTAGGCTTCATTATAGGAGTGTATTAGAAACAAAAAGCTTGAGTGCAAGACTCCTGAATCCTTAGCTAATACTCTAATCATTTATCATTTTTTGTAGTGAGAATGCCTTAGTATTGAATTCTCCTGCGGCTATGTCAGATTCTTCTTCTGTATCCTCGAGGACAGGTGGCAGGCTTCCTACTCCGCAGCTGAGAGCGCTTGGTGGAGCTCAGAGGACTCATCATGATCTCACTACCCCAGCTGTTGGTAAAAAGACTTTTAAATGTAAAGCAATATTTCAAGAACTAAGGAAAAAAGAGACATGTATGAGTTAATTTATTAGGTTATTTAAGGTAATGAAGCATTTTTTATCTTCTCTGCAATAGGAGGTGCGGTTCTAGTGTCTCCTCCTAAATTCAAGTCTTCACAGCAGAGAACACGAGATTTAGGAACAGACCCTTCTTCAGCTAAGCAAGGTGCAAAAGGAGCTTCAAAAAGAAGGTCCGTCCAGGTGAGCCAGAAAAGAGACTTACCATTATGCTGTTTAGGAATGTGCTTTTTAAGTAATGGTGAAGAATTTATTTAATAAATCTTTTTCTTGAGTTGTCATTCTAAAATTCTCAGCATCTGTGACTAAAAAAGGCCAATGTCTGAATAAAAAAAATTTTGGGGGGTATCAAGCAAAGGAGTTGAGACTACTGGAGTGAGATTGTATGAGCTCTGTTTTGGCTTTTTCTGTTAAATGCACAGGATCTCTTTTAAAAGAAAAAAAAAAGTTTCTCCAGGGAGCTGTTGGTTTCTCCATTAACATTACTGTAGCTTGCCACTGACACAGGGCACAGCTCCAGATTCCTTGACTTGAAGAAATTCAAGAAGGAGAGGTTGGGTGCCTATGTACAAGATAGGTAAATGTGCCATAATAGTTTCATTCTCCCTTTCCTTTACTTTTGTGCTTTTTTTTTAAGTTGCAGCTTGCATAGTTGCTAAAAGAAAAATAGAAACATTTAGGACTTGTTGAACTGTCTTCCTTTCAAAACTGTGGGGTTTCTGTTAAGTTGTGCTTAGTCTGAGTTCTACAAAGACAGATAGCATTTCACTGCATATGTCCTCTGTAGTAAGTTCTGTACTAGAAGCTGACACAATTGCATGAGAAGTTGGTTTAAAATCTAAGAACACAGTTTTTTGCTGTTAAGAAAATCAGCTTTTGGTTTGACCTGACTAGATTACTTTCAGACCATGTTAAACACTTGTTACTAGTAATAGATTTTCTTTAAGCTGTCTCACAAGCTTGAAATACTTATTTTTCCATTACCCTCATAGGAAGTGTAACAGTGTAAAGCCAACAATTGCTGCGTATATGAGGATCTGTACTGGAAGGCTGTATATGAGATGTTGGGGTTTTGTGGTTTTGGTTTTTTTTTTTTTTTTTTTTCCCTTTCTGTTGTGTTTTAGCCTGATGTGGAAGTGGAAGCTGTTTCGCTCCTTACCTCTCCACCTGCTGGGCTGGGAACTTTGGATCCTCTGCCACTTAGGCAGGATCAGCGGCCTCCTAACAGTGTTTTGCATGAGCAAGTTCCTCATCAAGAGCGTTCCTCTACACCTCCTGTGCTGAAGTCAGGCAAAAGCTGCTCTATGCCTTGCTGGAATCCCTCTCGTCGTATTCAAGGGACTCTCAAGGATCCAGAATTCCAGCATAATGGTGGGTTTTGTGTATCAACTGGCTGTGTTGGAGAGCTGCAGGATGGAAATGGTTACCATGCAGTGTTCAGGCCAAGAGAGTGCTGAGCTTGCTACTTAGGGCTCTACAAAGAATGTGTTGTTTGTAAACAAAAGCCTTTCTACTGTATGTTTAGTCTTGTTGAGGAAACCTGCACAACTCTCCACCTTAGTTTTGGATTCCACTAATACCATTGTATTCTAGTGGTCTGTTGTCTAATTTTGCCTTATTAATTTCAATAAGTACTTACTCATTATGAGAATAATTTGGTTTAGCATGAACAGTTGTAATTTTTAATCTTTATGCTACAACTGGACGCTGTGACACTTTTCCAGCTGCGATTACCAACAGTGGTGCGTAACTGGGGACCTTTATAGTGTGGTACTGCAGGAGTTGTGGATTTCTGAGAGATAAGCTCCTTAAATATTTCTGCAGGATACGGAAACAAAAAAACCCATCTTTAAAAGGTTTATTGGATATTGAGAAAAGCCATTTCTTAGCTGAGGAGGAATTCGTGCTGGAGCATTTCAAAGACTTTTAAACAATGTTTAGGGGTAATGGGGACATAAATTTGGTAAAGAAAAGAATCCTTCACCCCTTAGTCAAAATAAAGTTTATGTGCTTGAGTCTCCATGCCAGAAAGACTGTAGCTGCTTAAGGTCCCTTAATTCTTGGTCCTTTTACTATAAACGTTAGCTAAACTAAAGTAGTATTTCCATTCAAGAATGCAACAAGTAATTGTCAGGTTAAGTGGGATGGTGAAATCCAGACAATTTCCTTGGAAAGAGGTCAGAATTGGTGCTGTGTTCTAGCTCTGCACCTCAAGCGCAGTTCACAAAGTAACTTGTATCATCTACCAAAGATAGGTGCCTTGAGAAGAATACAGGGGAGTAAGTTTATTTTACTTCAAGTTAGAGTAAAGGAGCCTCCTGGAGTTTTTTGTATGTTTGCTGTTTATAAGACTCATATTTTGGAAATAATGTCCTAACATTCTTAAATGTTCTAGAATGAAATGTTATCTTTTGTCTACTTTGAAATGATTCAGAACTGCCTTTGACTTTTTGTCTTAGGGAATGTTGGCAATCCAAAAATGAGATCTTTCCAGTTACCCCTGCAGGAAAGAAACTATAACGATGAAGGTATTTCTTGTCTCAAAGTATTATTATATATCATGTGTATATTACCTAGATTAATTTTAACTTTTGCACTAATGTGAGAGGTTTATGAATGCAGTAAGTAATACTGGTTTATATGTTTGCATGCATAACTACTGCGTTGTTTCATCAAAATAATTGGAAAATACTCATGCTAGTAATCTGAAGAATGAATATGCAGGTATATTCTAGTAGGAATAAACCATTAAATGCGGCTGAAAATTAAATAGACCATTGTGGCTCAGTATAGTTACTATAGCTTGCTCAGTCCCATACCTAAAATTGTTTCCTCCCCCCGCATTTTTTAAGCTTCTGTGTTGATAGCAACATAAGCAACCTGCAAAATTATCACAGCCCAGGTTGCAGTTGCAGTAATTCTTGATGCAACTTAAAGGTAGCAAAAATCTTAAGATTAAGATTTTGCTTTTGGGACTTCAGCACTGGATATGCAGCATAAAATTATTCCCCTGACTTTAATTTTCACACCCGATCCTCTGTTCAGTGTACTAGGGGTACTTACGGCATCCTGTTATTCTGAATTCTGTTTTGGCCTTTTTTTCTGTCTACTGTAAAGTTAGTCTGGAGGAGCAGCCAGTCCACAGCCCACCGGTGCATCTTCTTGGCCTTTTTGTGGGCAGCCACAAATAAGCTTTTTCAGTAGCATGTGAGTCAACCAAAGGCACTGTAGCCTAATTAGCTTGAGCTGCCATGCATTGTTTCTTAACATGGTGTATGAGGTTGAGCTTGGTGTGGTGCTGTGCTAGTCGCAATAACCTGTGTTTGGTTCAGATTAGCTTATGGGCAGAGCAAGCTTATATCTGATTGCAGTTTATTTATAGATATACCCCAGAGCGACCAAAACATTTTTTTCTGTACCCCTTACGCTTGTTTGCTCCTTGGTTTTAACCAAGGTTCAGGCTGATTCTCTATTTTACTCATTGCAGTTGGCTGGAAAATGTGTGGGTTGTGCAGATGGCTCAGCCAAGCATCTGTGTATCTACATAAAACATGCAAAATCCTATAGTACTCTGCAGCTTCCCACAAGCTTGTTGCACACAGATTAAATGCTGTAACTGCTGTTTTCTTTTTTTTTTTCCCCTATGAGCTGAGTGATGATGTCTGAGCTTTCAAAAACAGGCGCAATGTGCCAGCTCACAGATATTTCAAGTGCCCATATTTGTTCACGTACATAGAAACCTGGGAGTTACTCCAATGACATGTCTGCAGAAGTGCAGCTAGCAGTTTTCTCATACACGGGAATATAGTTGTTATGCATAGTGTGTGAGCCTGTTACAGGCTGTTTGGATCACCGTGTTTCAAGAATTTAGAACTGCTGCTGAAAAGTTAATTGAAACACTGACAAAAGTACAGATCCTGTTAGGATGGAGTTGTGGAATTTTTTGGTTGTTTTTTTTGTTGGTGAGGGGCTGGAAAGTAGTGAAACAGTTCTTTTTAATCCATTGCAAGTGAATGGGTGTAATTAAGGTCATTTTTCATAGACAGCATCTTGACAGAGCTGTAGCAACATTTTATGAGTGGTGTTAAAGAAGTATAATGTGCTTTATCAGAGAAGCAGCATCCAGGCTGCTTAATTTTGAGAGTTCTGCTGAGTGTGAAGTGGACTCTGTGTTCAAAAAGTACATATTCATGAAAGCAACCCACCGCATCAAGCGAAGTGGGCAACCTTAGAAAAACACACAACTAAAATATCAGAACCTATGTTGCCGAAAGCATGCTTCGTGTTGTCTTTGTGTTAAACTTCCTGTTTTCTTCAGAAGACACATTGCTTTTAACAGCTTGTGGAACACTAGCTGGTTTTGGCACAGAAGGGCTCTTTTGGCAACATAGGTTCTGTCATTACCAGAGTCTAGTCTACACAGACTTCAGTGGCAGAGGAATGATTTCTGAGGTCTTCTGACACAGGAGAGTAAATGTAAAGATAATTTGGAGAATTGGGCAATTCCCAGGTGACTCTCATTCTGGAGTTTGTCAAGAGCTGGGCATGTAGCTCCCTTAAACTTACCTAGCGTCCTGGTAGCTTTCTAGTGAGATTCTTCTCCAGCATATCAGTTACCAAGTAATAGAATTAAAGTGTATTGTGGTGCTATTTTAGCATCCATTGTGAAAGAGGGCATACAAATATTTGCACTTTCAAAGCTTGCCGTGAATGTCAATTATGTTTTAATACATGTATTTAATCTTCTTAGT